AGTTTTTACAGCGTTAACTAAACAATGTTTTATGCTACAGCCGAGTCTGCAACTCAACCTGGTCGTTACACAGCATTGTCGTCATCACAGAGCTTCAGATCGATCAGCTACAGGCTGAACACGTACCTATAGGGTATAGGAAGACGTCCAAAAACTGTTGGCCATAGTATCTGTAGTGGGATCTACGTTCCATGCTGGTCAGGCATTTTGCAAAATGCCTAGTCATTTTGTAAAATGGCTAGCCATTTTGAAAAAAGCCTGGTTGCGTTCAGTCATTTTCCAAACAGCCGTCTTTTTGTAAAATGCCTAGGCATTTTACAAAATGACTGATTTTCTAAAGTGCCTGTAACACATATATCGCATTAGAAATATTTTATTTAAATTATACTATTACTAAAATGATATGCTTCAAAATTTGGGCTATATTATTTAAGATTTAAACCATTGGAGATATTTGTTTGTGCATTCCTCCTGCACGGTGTCCAGTCCAAGCATTCCGTTGCGCAACAGCATCCACCCATCAGTTATCTTGCTAAGGTCTATTGTGCCAATATTCTTAATCTATTTGTTGGTGTTAGATGGCAAATCAATTTTGCAATCTTTTCCAGCATTTTTTCATTACCCGTGTAATCCCTTACAGCACAAATGTAGACTTTCTCGATGTTGCATCATTTGCCTGTCAACTATTTTCATATATAAGTTTAGGACAACGGCGGCAGAGTGCCGCGGTGGCGCAGCGGTATGATTTTCGCTTTTTGAGCCAAAGGTCTCGGGTTCGAAACTCGGGGTCGCCCGAAACGTTTTCTGAAGTAATGAAAGACGGACGAATTGCTATGTAAATTTATTTGTTTATTTTTATTTTTTAACATGAATCGAACTGAAAAATTAGTTATTGTAGAGAGCTTGGAAGATTTTCCCAATAGCTGAGTTTGCTATCGGTATGATAAAAGAAAGCCAATCTTCAGGACGGAAGATCCTAGTCGATCTTTGCACAAGGCCAGGCAAAAATGTTAGCTGGAGTTTTTATTAATTGCCAAACTGCGCCATACTCGTCCCTCCTAAGCCGATCAGTAGCGGCTGAGCTCTTATTTCACTGATCCGGATCAGTACCGGCTTTGCCCATGGAAACGGCCCCAGTCATCCGGATCAGTAGCGGCTTCACTGATCCGGATACGAATCCCCTTGCCCATGGAAACGTAGTCATTCTCTGAAAAAAGAATCGGTATTCCGTGGATTCACTGAAAAAGAATCGCTATTCCGCGGATTACCTAGGAAGTTCGCAGATCCCCGCGACTCTTCAGTGACTTCACGAACGCACTGGAAACTCTAGTAAATCCGCGGAGCCACGGCAGTGATTCCGCGGATTCACGAGAGTTTATGTGAGTTCGCGGAGTCCCTAGGGATTTCGCGGATTAACTAGTTACTTCGCAAACTCACGAATTTCGCGGACGCACTGTAACACGCACACTCCAAATTCTGCCATGGAGTCGGAATTCCGCGATAGGAGGGTAGAGGGCAGGGTCAGCGCAACAAGCTTTGGTTAACGGGGGCACTGTCCTTGTGATTTCTTCCATACAAAAGGTTCGCACTAAATTGATGTATAAAAAATAATGAAAAATGCGATCAATTTGGACTAGGTACCTTGAGACCTTTTTTGCTCTTGGGCAACTGTAAGGTCATGTGACGTCATCAAAGGTCACCAAGTTTTTTTTGCTAATTACTCCTTACATGAACAAAATACATCCGCGCGGATGGTCTCATGGTATTCAGCTCGTCAAGGCGCATCGAATGATATAGGTACATGATAAACTTGAGGTCACGTGACCTGAGCTTAACCTCTGAAGTTTGACCTATATATATATATATATATATATATATATATATATATATATATATATATATATATATATATATATATATATATATATATATATATATATATATATATATATATATATATATATATATATATATATATGTTACAGGCAAAGTGAAAACTCGGGCATTTTGCAAAATGCCTAGGCAATTTGCAAAATGCCTGACCCGCCAGGCATTTTGCAAAATGCCCAGGCAGTTTGCAAACTGCCTGACCCACCAGGCATTTTGCAAACTGCCTAGGCATTTTACAAAATGCCTGACCCGCCAGGCATTTTGCAAAATGCCTGGGTTTCCATATATTCCACCGTTTTTGTTGACTACAGCCGTTGATCATAAACGTTCCACCGTGACTGACCCCGCAACACATTTGACATGTGTTGTGTTCACATTGACACATTCCACGGTCACGAATACGGGTGTCGCGAAATTGTTGCGGGATGTTGCACTGGTGTCCCGAAATGTATTGCATCGTAGTTGCGTCAGTGTTCTCCAGCACCTCGCTGACAAGTTATCAGCTGCCACATGGTCTGTCCCCGCGGCACCTGGTGAAGCTCAAATAGGCCGCCTCTGTAGCCCATCATGCCCCAAACGAGAATCCCCAGTGCCCAGTGGGTGCTTCACCGTCTCGACGGCGCAGCGCCTCTGAGCTGCTGTTGGCCCAGAACTGCTTGTCGGGACGGTTAGTGACTAAGAAGAGCTCTAATAGCCGTTTTCACGACGGGCTGTCCGGTGAGTGCACCTAATTTGACCAAATATGCACCTAATCTCTCTTAATACAGCAAATATCTTTATTTTATGAATTTATTTCAGTGTTTTAACCGATGATGCTCTCTGATAATATGACAAAGGAGGTATATAAGCAATTAGTACAACCCTAGCTGATAGCTACTAAGAGACACACTGAACCTAATTTGACCAAATATGCACCTAATCTACACCGTGAACCAAATGTGTACCAGATGGCCGTCGTGAAAACGGCTAATATCACCTCACGGCCTCATCATTGAAAAGTCTGAATATCTAGTCCTGAATGGTCCAGATTTCATGGTGGGTTTTGTCGAAATCCAGCTGCATCACTTATGGATGACGGTAAGTCAGGGTTGCAGCCTGAGGTTGAGCGGCTTCAGCTTCAGGGTAAAATCTTCAGATACCGGGGGATGGCCGATTTAGATGCCGAGTGCCCTGGACCAGATGCCCTGGTGCCGGACCCGTTAAAATTACATCCATTCAGCACTCAGGAGGGACATGTAGGGACAAGACCGCGCCAACCGCGTATCAAGTTCGTGACACTCTGTATACCTATACGTTTTGCGTCAATTCTGTCGAGATGGAACCAACGCTGAATGGACTTGAGCGACCGTCTCCGTACCTTTCGTATATGCGGAGTTGTAGCCGTGTGTATAAAAGCTGCGATGTCCAGTATTCTGCCCTGGTGGGCAGCTGTTCCGGCAGAGACGATTGATAATGTACCTACCTAAACGTGTAACAATCAAATTTTCGTAAATTGGAAGAGTATTCTTTTCTGATCAATATCCACCCATAGTATTTCCAAAAAGCCACCAAGAGCTCTTAGAAACAGTACAATCATTGTATCGAGCGCATGTTTACCCACGAAACCACGCCCGGTGCTCGGCACCCGACGGCCGCTGGGGCTCAGTGACCTGAACTCGGCGGCGCTACCCGGAGAACGCAGCGTCCCCTCACTTGGTGCGCATTGACAGCGATTAACTTTTGTAAGCGGCAGTTACAAATGATGCTTACCTATACATCGTCGCTAGTGCGAGTTTGATGTCAGGCATTTTGCAAAATGCCTGGGAAAATATTTCAGGCAGTTTGCAAAATGCCTGGTGGGTCAGGCAGTTTGCAAACTGCCTGGGCATTTTGCAAAATGCCTGGCCGGTCAGGCATTTTGCAAACTGCCTAGGCATTTTGCAAAATGCCCGAGTTTTCACTTTGCCTGTAACATATATATATATATATATATATATATATATATATATATATATATATATATATATATATATATATATATATATATATATATATATATATATAAAGCTTGCTTGCATGCGTGTTTCGATGCGGATCGACGAGAAGATAATGATGGAGCTATTAGTTTGATTCTAGCTTGGCTTCTTCAAAAGTTATTCGAGAAAAACTTTATTCATATCTAGCGCAGCTATTCTGACTATTTCACCCGTCACACTTACGTTATTTTTCACCTGGCCTGAAAATGACCTGTCCATGTGTACTCCATGCCGTTTACTGCTTGTCGCTACCTTGCTTCGTTCTCGAGATCTCGGAGATAGGGGGTTACCGCCCCCACCCCTTGGTTCTACGTTGGCGTGACCCCCGTCGGTGCGCGTGTTGAGGTATGACCTAAAATGACCCAACTAATATCTTCATTAATCATGCTTCTACTTGCTGTTTGCTGCATTTGGTAACATGACTCAGGAGCTGTGTTAGAGTGGGCTTTTTAACCAGACATGTGTATTGTGCATGGATTCGAGAAAATGGATCTGGGATCTGATCTCACGGGTCCTGGTCTCGGATCCGACGGGATCATAGATCCAGCTCTGTAATTTATCGAGAAATCCGTAGGGATCACAGATCCGAGTCTCATTTTTTGCTTGAGATCCAGTGAGATAATAGATCCTCACTTATTTTTTGCCAACGCAGTTATATCCCAAAAAAGCACTTGTTTCAACTCACAAATGTTCTGTTTTAGTGATTTTATGTGATCGCACGTCATAATCCTGAGTTTTGTGTTACTTATTGGCATAGAACCCCTTTAAAACATGGTTTCAAAGGTGGTGCATGGTGGGATCCACTCAGATCATAGATCCATGTTCTTAATTTATCGTCAGATCATTTGATACATCTTGTAGATCCAAGATGTATTTTTCACGCCGGATCCGGTGGGATCATAGATCCCAACCTGTACTTTGCTTCCAGATCCGCTGAGATCATAGATCCATCACTCGGATCCATGCACATGTCTGTTGTTAACACCTTTCCAGCTCCATCAGGTTTTCCTAACAAGCTGGCGTGACTTAGTGGCTTTCTGAAGCCAACACTGTAGTTTTATAATTGACAATGCTTGTCATTTTGCTTAATTTCAGGTGCGAACTACCCAAAGCTGCCTTCTACTGTATTAAAGGACAAAAATGCTGGAAATGCATTCAATGACGTTCGATTTGAAGATATGTAAGTACATAGTGTTCCTCAGCTAATGTTACGACAATTTTAACCCGCGCTCCAGTCCCCACTGGGGGGGGGGGGGTGCTATTCATAGCCCCTACCGTTTTTCTGCAATAACTTTTAAACCGCTTGACGTATCGCCGCCAAACTTTCAGTACCTTCGGCTGCATCACTTTGACACCTTGTGTCAAAATATGAACTTCGTAGCTACCATAGGTCGGCCGGAAATGACGTCAGAGTGACGTCATGTTCGGCCAATTTCGACGCAAAACATTGAACCACGGCAATCGCTCCCAAGAGCTCAATTTTTAAGCCAGATCTAATTTCTTTGCATGAGAGGACTCAGAATAGACTGCGTTATCAAACTGCTATCTATGATTTTCAAAATTTTGAAAGTTTTGACAATTATATATATCAATTTTTTTTTTAAAGGTATATTTTTATCTTTTTTCAAAAAGTTTTTGACTTTTCGAAAAACCGGAATGTATGTGATGAACACCTGCTTATGACTTACTCTAGCCAGTTTTAGCCATATATCTTTAAACATGGCTAAGTTATGCGCATTATAGCAAAAATTTCACAATTATATTTTTTCAAATCAATTTTTCAGCACGTAATTGCCATCGTACATCAATATAAATAGCACCATCGTGTTCCTGAGCTCAAAGTGCATCCGATAGACGCGTTTTTGGTGAAAAAATTTGAACTTTAAGATTTGACTATTTTACCTGAAAGTGGCCTGACCTAAGCTAAATTCAACTCAAAATGACCTCGAATGACATAAACGACATCAAATTCGAGATCTATGGCCTATAACTATATGAACCATAAAACATGATATCACGTGTCTGACGCATGATATAAGGTTTCCGTGACCTGTGATGACTTGACCCTGACCTGAAAATCAAAGTACAAGTTTGGTACCCTCAGGGTAGGTATCTAAAGCATCTGTTCACGAGTGTGTAAAAAAAAAAAGAGCCTGATCTGACTTGAAAGACGGCGGCCAGATCCCAAAATGTGAACAAGCCAAACATCGATAATTTTTACTTTGACCTGACCTGTGACGTCATGGGTGACCTCGAGGTCAATGAAATTAGGTTTCGCTCGACAGTTTTTCCGGACAGACGCCGTTTGAATTTTGACGATCGGCCCAGTAGTTTCGGAGTCAGGAGGGGGGGGAGCTATGAATAGCCCGTGCACGTACAGGATTCCCTCTCTTGCTCGCTTGTTTGTCGCCCCCATATGAATGACCTATTCTTGATGTGTTCCATCCGTGTGTTTTAGAACTAAATATTTGAACGTGATGGCCTCATGCTTTAGAATTTCCATTGCAATGTTATGTTACGTATAATTACCATGGACACAACGACTAACATGTGTATTGTTCGGTATTGTTAGACATATTTATAAAATCTGATGGCCAATAGTTGCAAACCAAAATGATAATTAACAAAATGATAACAAAAAGATCTAGATTTTAATTATCATTTTGGTTTGCAACTATTGGCCATCAGATTTTATTAACATGATCTCTATGACACTGAAAAACGAAATTTCCCTAAAATTCGTCGACACCTTGTGCTTGCGTTGTGCCATCGTAAGGACCTTGGCTGCCAGCTGCATTTAGTGATGTCATCATAGTATGCTCATTCTGGCAGGCACAATTTCCATTTAGTTTTCAAGCACAATTCGAAAATGAGGATTTCAATAGTTGTCATTTATTTTCTCAGAAGCAGAAGCTGTTGGAACTCATGTGACAGTGACAGTTTCGATAATGAACTTGGAGTCAAAGTACTTTTGATAAAAATGAACTATAAAAGTTTTATGATAAAGTTCAATATGATTTACGTCCTTGTGCAATAAGCTGTTTTCCAGTTACACTTTGTTGAGACGACCAAAGTCGGCTGATGCTATTAGTATTAAATGAGGGCAGGTAGAGCGCATAGATTGCGGTCTGCCCTCGCGACCTCCAGTCGGCGCAGTCGTCGAGTCGCACTGACGACTGAGCCAGGCTGTCCGCAGACCTGTGAACGTCGCGCTGTCGGTCGTCCGCACTGCCACTGCCGACATAGACCTGACGTTACAATGTGTGATATGACCTTGATGTCATGGTTGACATAGGGGAGATTGGCCGCCCCCACCTGTACGATATCTGATAAAAGTGAATGAAATAACTCTACACCTTTTGTCAGTTAAATTCGGTGCGTAATCATCCATTTTAGAACTAACGAAATGTGTGTAGACAGACCGCAATATTATGTACCAGAATCGCATAATATCTCGGCGCAGGTTAGGCAGTCGGCGGTAAAGCATTCAATTTCGGCACAGCGGCAATATGCTCCATTTTCGGTGATAGCGCAAGTAGAATCGGCGGCGCCAGCGAAGGTTTAGAGGTAGCGCACGCTATTTAGCAACAGTAACAACCAAATTCGGCACTGTTCATTCAATTTCGGCGGGTAACCGGAGACACCCAGATGGTTCATATTTTCAGGAACGCTTCTTGAGCATCAAATGAATCGTCATACAGCTTTGTGGCTTTGGGATATTCAAGGGGCAGAAAAGCAGGCCATGGTTTGTTTAGCGTCACAGTACCATAGTACCTACCTAAGACCGTTTCGCTGTTTCCCATTTCGAATGCTGATGTGAAAATTGATAAACTTTATTGAGTTAGTACTATTTATCCTAAAAAGATAACATCAGTGGTATGGTTTCGTTTTCTTTTTTTAATATTACAGAACCCGTTCCTGTCCGCACATGGCGGACGACGATTGACAAAGCAAACGCCCATCGTTGTTGGACTCGAGGCAAACCCCGAATATCTTTCATTGAAGCACGTCTGTGCTCTTTGTCACTGTGCGCCAAGGTTCTGCCCAAAATATGAACCCATTTCATCAAAGGTGTTATTTTACTTCACCTTGAAAGCAACCTATCACCTCATCAATCACACATGACACAATTATATCAATCAGACCAGAATGAGTCCTTACCAATCGGTTATCGTTGCACTTCCTGTAATCATCTATTAACCCGCGCCCTGCTGGGGGGGGGGGTGTTTGAACACCCCCCCCTTGTGGTTTTTCGCGAATATCTCAAAAACGGCGGCGCGGAGCGCCGCCGTTTTTGGTATACCTTATCACACATCAATTCTACAAATGTTGTGAAAATTTCAGACCAAGGTCATTCAAGGTCAGGTCACCAGGTCACTTGAAGTGACCTCACCTCATAAAAACTTTCAATGTCTGTCATAGCTACACCGAGTGACCGATCGCTTTGAAACTTTCAGCGATTGCTAAGAGCAATAGCATGTACAAAATGTATATCTCAGAATTTTGATATCGATGACCTAAGGTCAGGTCAATTTTGCGACCTCCCCATTATAAGTCAATGGGAGAAAATTGAAATGCGCCTCTTTTGGATGAAAGACATTATAAACACTCCCAAACACCGAATTACAAGTGGTTTAGACACACTGAACTTGAAAATGGTGTCCGTGACCCTTGTTTATGCCCTGAGGTCATCTTAGGTCACGAATGGTATCTATCAGTTTTTCGCAAATAACTTTTGATAGAGGCATGCTAGAGCGATGAAAACGCCTTAGATGTGTTCAGCTCGACGATTCGGATCGACTGATATGCAACATGACCCTTTCCGGTCAGGTCATGACCTTGACCTGAGGTCAAATTTTCAAATTGACCTTTCAAGGTCAAGTTATAGTTCATTCGATGCGTCTTGACGAGAGGAACACGATGCCGGTAAAAGTAAGCTCGTTCAAGGCTTGGGTCAAAAGTTATTGCAGAAAAACTGTTTTCGAAAAAATCGGCTATTTTTGCAGTTTTTGCCCCCTGCAGGCAAAACCGTTGACGTTAGGTCAAATCTGAGAGAATTACTCAGAAAGGGCGTTAATAGGGCTATCGAATGCGCTTTTCCGCGGCGCTGTAGCTCTATTGGTTCCCGAGTTATGCGTTGGCTTCTTGGAAATTTTCGACATTCGACCTGGAAATCGGCGAAATTTTGCCTTCAATGACCTCTGGTGACCTGACCTTTGACCTGACCAAAAAATTGACCGAAGTGATTTCGTCATTATTTTTTACGCTCTTTCGAACGCCGCCTTCCGCGTATCGCTACGTGGCCCAGGAGCCGAGTTACAAGGGGGGGTGTTCAAACACCCCCCCCCCCCCCAGCAGGGCGTGGAAATCCAGGACCCCCAGCAGGGCGCGGGTTAATCAAGTGCCAGCGTGAAACATCAACCATCTCTTACCTACTGTGTGCAGAGGGACACGAAAATAAATTCAACATTCCGTATCGTATCACCACGCCTCCCCTCACCCCGCCCCACCCCCATGAACACCACCAAAGGCTTAGCGCCGACATTCTTACCAGTTACCCGTCCCATGGACAAGACTCGTAGCTGCGGCAGGTGTATGTATCTCTTCGCTCCCCCCTCCCCTTCCACACATCAAGCAACATCTGACTGTCCATCCGGCGCTCGCGCATCCCTGCAACAACCGCGCGACGACACCGGGCGTCTCTGGCGCACGGGCGGGGGTTTAGTAATCGCGTACCCTGTCGGCCTGGTTTTGTTCTCCGCCGTCTTCGTTATAAGCAGATACCTCTGCACTTATGTTAGTAGTCTTGCTGGATAAAAATTAATGCATTGCAATGTTTTGTTACCCACAGAAAACACGAACATGAAATCATGCTCATCGCTGGCGAATGCGAATGGAATATGCGGCCTTAAAGGAGAGGGTGGAGGGTTGAGGCACGTACAAGTCCAGACAATGAGACAGCGACGACAGTTAACACACTGAAAAACGTTTGACTTAATAAGAATGCTCCAACAAGCTTATTTTGTAAGCGAGAAGTCTCTGCCCGCTTCCAAACAGCCGCCGAAATTGAATGAATATCGCCGAATTTGGTTGCTACTGTTCTAAATATCGTGCGGCCGTCTCCAATCTCCAGCGGCACCGCCGAAATACAATGCGGACACGCCGAAACCGGGCGTCTTTTGCTGCTGCGCCGAAATTAAATGCTTTAATGCCGATCACCGCTATAAACGGCCGACATGCAATGCTATACTGATAAATAGCTTTGCGGCATGTCTACAAAGAATCCGCTAGTTCTAAAATGGACGCGTACGTACCGAAATAAACTGACAAAAGGTGTAGTCTCTATTCATTTGTCATGGGTAGAACTAACTCGAGGACAAATGTCAAAACTTTTCCCTTATAGTTAAATTAAAAATAATTAAAACGTGAATTTCATTAGAAAATGGTAACTTTTACTTCCGTTTAAAAAGTTGTATAGCATGCAGTATTTGGGATATAAACGAATTCAGACATTATAGCGCCATTCTTCGGGGTGTTCAGCGGTTCCAAGAGCAATTTCATTTAGTTCCGTATAGCCATGACGACTTTATAGACAAAAATTCTAAGAATAGCAATGTGGGGTTATTTGGCCGGGACTAGCGGGGCAACTTGGCCGGTGCGCTCAGGGTCGCTTTGCTGGGACGGCCGAGTTGTCGTGGTCAATTATACAATCAATGACATGATTCATGACCAACTTTGACTACCTTGCTGCCTTATTTCCTATTGGACAGCTGTAAGGGCATGTGACGTCATCAAAGATAACCAAACATTTTTTGCTAATAAATTCTTACAGAAAAAAGATACAGCCGCGCCAATGGTCTCATTGTGTTCAGCTCGTCAAGGCGCATCGAACGATATACATGATGATCTTGAAGTCACGTGACCTTGGGGTCAAGCGACTTGAGGTAGCGTGACCTGAAGTCAACCTTTGACCTTGACCTCTCGAGGTCAACACATATATGTTTCGATGCGGACTGACGAGAGAATTACGATGCTACTTTTAGTTTTGACCTAGCTTGATTACTTCAAAAGTTATTCGTAAAAAACTGTGATCGCATCTAGAGCCGCTATTTTGACTATTTTCGACCACTGTGACCGCTGAGTCAACCTCCGAAATGCGTCAAATGCGTCGTAGGACACACGTCATTGCTGAATGTGAAGCTGACTCGCCACTAACAATGAAATACCGGCCTCAAACTAACACCGGCCAAATTGCCCCACACCCCCGTTCAAATAAGCCTGCTAGTGGGGCGATTTGGCCACCTTGCAGACCTTTGTAATACGTCACAATTTCAATATAAGTAGTAACTCTATCATTTCAAGATTGCTGTCCAGTAAAGTAAAATGATTGCAACACTTGCCAGCGTTGAGAAAGTGCAGAAATGTGTTGTCAATTTTATGTTACATCGTTTTCTAAAAAAAGCGGCCAAATTACCCCACTCTCCCCTAAGTATTTGCCGCCGAACTTTGTGTCTGGTACTAATTATGGATATACTGATGATGGACCTATCTCAAATATCGTGGTGTCCGTTCCCGGTGTCTTGTTGAGCGTGGGTCGGTGAAGGCACTCAGTAGCTCCCGGTCCCAGTACCTAACTCTGCAGTGTGTGTCTCCAGTAACGCCGTGGTGCCGTACGAGACGTTCACCCTGGAGGAGCGTTACACCGTGGACCTCCGGCCCGACTTCACCACGGCCGTGCCGCTGCTGGAGCTGGAGAAGGAGAACGTCCTCACACTCATCAGAGAGGCCATCCGGGACGGACAGGTGGGCCGCGCACCGGGTCCTGGTCGCCGCAGGCCGCACGGGGCTGTCCACTGTACATACATACTCAGCGGTCAACCGGTGGCCTTAGAGTGAACCTCCATAGCGACTTAACTCACTTACGGGCTGTGACTGACCCGTACTAGATTTTCACTAGACTTTCTTGCTTCCAGAGTGTTTGTGTGTTTGTTTTTATGTGCACTGCCTGCATTTGTGTAGGCATGGAACTTGGAAGCCGTGACCTTTTCCTCTTCCCTAGTCCCTGGCCAGTGTGACCCGCCCAGCCACTCTGACTCTGTCAGTTAGACCCTCCAAGCCGCTCTGACCCCCTTCCCCCATCCCAGTCTGACCCTCCCACCCAGTCTAACCCTCCCACCAGTCTGACCCTCCCACCAGTCTGACCCTCCCATCCAGTCTAACCCCCACCCAGTCTGACCCCCCGCTCGTCGGCAGCCGGTGATGGGCGGCGCGGTGGCGGAGCGACACTTTCAATACGGCATCAGTCGTCACCTGGCCGGCCTGGGCGAGGAGTACACCCTTGTCTTCCGCACCGGCGTCGACGTCTTCACGGCGCGAGTCTACCGACCGCTCAAGGTGTGTGTGTGTGGGGGGGGGGGCCTGGGCCGTCCGGTCGGGCCCAAAGTGTCCGGTCGGTGGTTCAATTTCAGTGTGCGCATATCTGCTGGGTGTCTGATGCAGTCTGGTTTAAATGTCGCCAGACATTCGGTGGTGTGGCTCAGGCGTGTGTATAATGTGTGGTTGAGCGAGTCAGTAGTCCGTGCTAATATCTTGGTGGCTGTTCCGTGCCGTACGGTACAGGTATTGCGGTGGCTGTTCGGTACCGCGCCATGCCGTACCGTATCGCGATGGTTGCTCTGTGCGGTGCCGTGCAGGTATCGCGGTGGCCGTTCGGTACGGCGCCGGTCGCCGTGCTTCCGCTGGTAGTAACGTCCCCCTCCCCGGCAGGACCCTGTGGTGACTGTGCAGCGGCACGAGCGGCTGCGGGACCTGCCGGTGCACATTGTGATGCCGCTGCGGGGCCGGCTGCAGCCGCTGGATGTGTTCCTGGACAGGCTGGGCGCCATCATCGACAGCGGTGAGCTCAGAACGGCCCGGCGCCCAGTCGTGTATCGTGTCCGTGTGTACCGCGTCCCCGCCCAGTCAGTATATGATTTCCCTGACTACCAGACCTCAGACTCTTCAGCTAGCCTCTGTCCCATCCTTGAACATTTGTAGCCATATGCCTGTTGTGGCTTTGAAGGAAAACATTGAAATCGGAAGTCACTTACAAAAAAAAAATCTGTTGTTGGCATAATGTCTGTAAATCCACACTTAGAACATTGCATTCCATCTAACATAGTTAAATGGTTGATGTCACGTTAAAATGCGTTGTCTCCCTTTACATAGTTACAATTCTTGCATCACATCACTACTAACAATACGTAAAGCCGCATATTGAGCCGAGCCGAGCAAGCCATCGCGAGCAGCGCCCCAGGATACTCCCATGCCAAGCGGTACCACGCCGCGCGTGACGCGCCCGATCTCCCAGCGTGACAAACCACGAACCGGGGTAGAAAAACGCCGGCTGGCCCGGACTGTACGAGCGTCTGAGATGTATTCTTGTATTCTTGTATTGCATAATATCACCAACAGGCATGATCCCTATGATAGGTGAAGTCAAAAGATAAAATACGAAAAAAAAACATGCACAATAAACTATCATAATAAAAACAGTATTCTCATGTACATTGCCCTAGAGTCTCACGGATCCGGTATAGAGGACGAGGCGCCTCTTGATGCTTCCAACAGGATCACATAACACATCAGTTTGAGGCTGGGCTTCCAGAAATTTGTTGGTGGCACGAGGACAGCGCGTAAACAGGCCGTTTGCAATGCAGTTCACTCGCCCACGCGGCACATGGAACAATGTCGACACAGCGCTGCGTGTCGCTCTGAGCGGAGCGTGTAACGAGAACGACCGTAGAAGATGAGAGGATGACACCGAACCTTTGAATACCTTGCACAAAAATATAATGTCACTCTCAATGCGCCTGGCATGTAGCGATCTCACGTCGAACAGCTTCAGCAGGTAATGATATTCAATCGAGTCATGGTGAACGTTCGTCATGTTTGCCAGCCAAATCGAAAACTTGTGTTGGACACGTTCCAAACGCACGAGATGACACTTGGAAGCACCGGCCCAAACTACAGAACAGTACTCTAGGATGGCCCTAACATTTGCATTGAATGCCGCGAACACTGCTCTCCTGTCCAGTTTGCACCGCGGAGAGGTCGCCTGGAGGCTCCGCATGAGTAGCCCTAGTGCCCGATTGGCCTTTGAAACAATCACATTTGTATGGTCTGCAAAAGTAAGTTTTCGGTCAAGTACCACACCCAAATCACGAATCGAAGTCACTTTCTGCAGAGTGCTACCACTGATTTGATACACAGATGGATATATGTCTCTTTTGAGCGTGATTTTAAAAGTTTTACACTTCGAGGGATTCAGCTTGAGCCCCCAGACCGCCGCCCATTCCGTTACAGCATCAATATCGTTCTGGAGCCTTTGTACATCATCGTGATTTCTAACTTTCTGAAAAATCTTCAAATCATCGGCAAACATCAAGCAATCTGTCTTGACGACAGATGGCAGGTCGTTCACAAGGAGCGAAAAAAGCATCGGACTGAGCAAACCGCCCTCCGGCGTTCCTGAGACGACTGGGGCCCACTCTGACACCTTGCCGTTTAAAACAACTCGTTGCTTCCGCCTTCCTAAATATGACGACAGCCACTTCAGAGCCAACCCTCTCACACCATACATGTGTTCCAGTTTGTACAGTAAAAGACGATGGTTGACGCTCTGGAATGCACTTGAAAAATCTGTGTATACCGCATCAAGTTGGACACCCTCAGATATTGCGTCATATCCACTGGACAGAAAGGTAGCCAGATTTGTGGCGCAAGATCGGCCCGGCATAAAGCCATGCTGATAGGACGAAAGTAGTGGCTGAACATGATGCATGAGTTGCTGACCGACTACCTTTTCGAAGATTTTGGCACAAATTGGGAGAAGTGATACTGAACGATAATTTTCGGGTGAACTGCGAGAACCTTTTTTGAATATCGGAACAATGTTTGCCTCAGCCCACTGTTCAGGGAAAATACCGGAAGACAGAGAAGACGATGTGTCCTTATCAGGACGAATCGCCGCCATATCCCGTGCCCCCCCCCCCCCGACCTATTGAATCTGACTGATTACGAGCGAGCGAGCGCAGCGAGCGAAGTGAGTCTTTTCAATATAACGGAAAAATCTCAGTATGAGCGGCCCGGCCCGGCCCGGCCCAGCCCGGCCCGGCCCGGCCCGGCCCGGCCCGGCCCGGCCTGTAACGCTTTTGAGAGGCTTATATCTCAGCAACCGCTGGACCGATTGGCCTGCGGTCTTTTCTGTTGGGTAGCCCCATCCCTTCTACCCCGTAATTGACTACTTTTGATACATCTCAGTGACCGTCGTGGCACGTGCCACGTGAAAAGTCAAGGTTGTTCAAGCTGTTTTGCAAAAGTAGTGATTTTGAGAGGCTCATATCTCAGCAGCCGCTTGGGCGATTGACTTGCGGTAATTTTTATAGGGTAGCAGCATCCCTTCTACCCAAAATAGGATACTCTCGATGCATGTGGGTCACCCCCAGTGCACGTGCAAAATACAACAATAAGAGGTGCCAAATTTGTTCCCATTTCAGTAACTCGGTAATTACTGGGGCGATTTCGCTGAAACTTGGCATACAGGTAGGCACCCACCAGGCAATGCATTCCCATGTGTTGCGGTTAGGGTGCTACTGCACGTGCGCACGTGCAGGGGTCGTTTCCAGATCTCGAGAACGGCTGGGCCGATTGCGCTCAGATTTGGTACACGGTTGGGGACCAGTTAGTAGGGTGCCGTGCAAAAGTCATTTTGGACCCCGTTTGCACGTGCGCACGTGCAGAATGCCGTTTCCAGATCTCAGGAACGGCTGGGCCGATTGCGTTCAAATTTGGCACACCGCTAGCGACCAGTTAGAAGGGTGCTTTGCGCAAGCCCGTTGGAAGCAACCTCTCGCCCTTCCTCACGTGCAGGGCTCACTATCTCGCTCGCTCGTTCTTCGCCCAAAAGGCGTTTTACTGGTATATCATTCGTCCGTCCGTCCAGATATCCTGCCCTGCGCGATTTTGCTGTGTGTGCTCCCTAGTAGTTGCTTTGTCCTACTTATTAGCGCGTGAAGTTAGCACAGGCTCCGATTTTACATTTAGGTTTTATCCATCCCCTTCTGTTTTCCGTGGTTCCACTTTTCCTCTGTTTCCGTTCCTCAGATTGCATTACCCGACTGATTGCATGAGAAGCCATAAGCAGTCATAGGCCACCAGTTACCTCAATTTCTCAGACCTGACACCCGCTATCCATGACGCGTGTGTCCTGCCACCTGGTCATGACCCGTGTCATCTTATCGCATTGGTGAGTTTTTCGCCTTCCCTTTCCCCTTTCCATATTTCTTTTTCTCTCTTCTACCTACCTTTTCTTCCTTCTCTTCTTTTTTTTCGTTTCGGAAGGCTCTCTCTCTCCCTCCCTCCCTCCCTCCCTACCTCCCTCCCTCCCTCCCTCCCTCCCTCCCTCCCTCCCTCCCTCCCTCTCTCTCTCTCTCTCTCTCTCTCTCTCTCTCTCTCTCTCTCTCTCTCTCTCTCTCTCTCTCTCTCCGCATTTATAGTTCCCCTTCTCTGCCCATTCGTCACTGTCGCCTATTTCAACCTCTTTGCAGTTGGATTTCCGGAGTGTTTTCAATGCTATGGCCGCCACTTGAAGTCTGTGCTTCATTCTTTCATCTCATCCCGCTCCCTGCTATTCACGATCAACCATTTGTCTACGGTAGCTTAATGGTTTGTTTCTCTTTGGAACCAAACAACAAATTGGTGCGCTATCATCATCACCACTCTGCGGGTTGTATTTGATCGCCAATCACGGGCTCCCTCCCCCCGTCCCTCCCCGGGCCCGACCTCACGCCGCCCCGTCCGTCGGCCAGGCGACAACGTCCACCTGACGGTGGTGGCGTTCCCGGACGGCGCCAACGGCACGGCACCGGTCGGCCAGCTGCTGCGCCGCTGGAAGCACGCCGCGCGCGCCCAGCTGGTCGCCGAGACGGGCGCCTTCTCCCGCGGCCGGGCGCTGATGCGCGGCGCCGCCGCCATCAACGTCGACCCGGCGACCGATCCGCTGCTCTTCCTGTGTGACGTGGACATGGAGTTCTCGGCGGTGGAGCTGGAGCGGTGTCGCGTGCACGCGGAGCCCGGCCGCGCAACCTACTATCCGGTCGTGTTTAGCCAGTACAACCCGCGGCTGCGCCAGGCGCTACGCCAGTCGGGCCGCTGGCCGCCGGAGCCACCCGTCTCGGACGACACGGGCCACTGGCGCTACTACGGCTACGGTATGTCGTGTCAGTACCGCTCCGACTTCGCGGCTGCCAGCGGCCAGTTTCTGGACGTCTCCGGCTGGGGCGGCGAGGATGGAGAGCTGTACAGACGCCACCTGCGCCGTCTGCGCGTCGTGCGCGCCTACGACGACGACCTGGTGCACGTCTACCACGGCAAGGAGTGCAGTGAGCGCCTCTCGAGCGACCAGTACCGCTCCTGCGTGCGCTCCAAGATCGTCAACGAGGGCAGCAAGGTGCAGCTGGGACTGCTGGCTCTGAGCGCCGCTGGTGACGTCGGTCCGAAGGCGTACGGCCTGTTCTACCTGCCGTGGTTCCTGCGGCCCGGTGGCTGGGCCACGCTGGCCTCTGGTATCCTCCTGGCCCTGTCCCTGGCGCTCAACGTGTGGCAGTACCGGAGAACGGCAGGCGCCCGCACCAGGTAGGCGACTGTGATCCTCCAGGGGGCGTCCGACTCAGTCAGATATTAGCTGGCGTCAGCGTATCACGGTGCATTATGGTGCAATTTACTCGGTGTGTGCGTCCAACATGTTGGGAAGGGAGTGAAGCTGCTATCCGTACGCGTCCTTGGCGAGGGTGATATTATTTGCCGCAAAATGGTGTGTTGTTCGTTTAAATGTTGCGTAAAAAGACCGGTGTGCTATTCTGCATTTAATGCTTCAAAAGCAGCATAGTGTTATTAACCCGCGCCCGGCTGGGGGTCCTGGATTTCCACGCCCTGCTGGGGGGGGGGGGGTGTTTGAACACCCCCCTTGTAACTCGGCTCCTGGGCCACGTAGCGATACGCGGAAGGCGGCGTTCGAAAGAGCGTCAAAAATAATGACGAAATCACTTCAGTCAATTTTTTGGTCAGGTCAAAGGTCAGGTCACCAGAGGTCATTGAAGGCAAAATTTCGCCGATTTCTAGGTCGAATGTCGAAAATTTCCAAGAAGCCAACGCATAACTGGGGAACCAATAGAGCTACAGCGCCGCGGAAAAGCGCATTCAATAGCCCTATTAACCAAGATTACTTTACTGCCCCTTCTGAGTAATTTTCTCAGATTTGACCTAACGTCAACGGTTTTGCCTGCAGGGAGCAAAAACTGCAAAAATAGCCGATTTTTTCGAAAACAGTTTTTCTGCAATAACTTTTGACCCAAGCCATGTACGAGCTTACTTTTACCGGCATCGTGTTCCTCTCGTCAAGACGCATCGAATGAACTATAACTTGACCTTGAAAGGTCAACTTGAAAATTTGACCTCAGGTCAAGGTCATGACCTGACCGGAAAGGGTCATGTTGCATATCAGTCGATCCGTATCGTCGAGCTGAACACATCTAAGGCGTTTTCATCGCTCTAGCATGCCTCTATCAAAAGTTATTTGTGAAAAACTGTTAGATACCATTCGTGACCTAAGATGACCTCAGGGCATAAACAAGGGTCACGGACACCATTTTCATGTTCAGTGTGTCTAAACCACTTGTAATTCGGTGTTTGGGAGTGTTTATAATGTCTTTCATCCAAAAGAGGCGCATTTCAATTTTCTCCCATTGACTTATAATGGGAGGTCGCAAAATTGACCTGACCTTAGGTCATCGATATCAAAATTCTGAGATATACATTTTGTACATGCTATTGCTCTTAGCAATCGCTGAAAGTTTCAAAGCGATCGGTCACTCGGTGTAGCTATGACAGACATTGAAAGTTTTTATGAGGTGAGGTCACTTCAAGTGACCTGGTGACCTGACCTTGAATGACCTTGGTCTGAAATTTTCACAACATGTGTAGAATTGATGTATGATAAGGTGTACCAAAAACGGCGGCGCTCCGCGCCGCCATTTTTGAGATATTCGCGAAAAACTACAAGGGGGGGGTGTTCAAACACCCCCCCCCCCCCAGCAGGGCGCGGGTTAATTTAGTCCCCAGTGATCTCCAGTCGCCATTCAAACTTTGGGATTTTTGTCTTTTTTCCACTTTTCTGGTTAGTTCTTATAAGTTTATGAAGATATCGGCCTCAAAATTTCAATTGCCCTCCCTCGCATCAGTTCTGAACATGCTGGCCAAAGGAACTGATGGCTGCTAATACGTTGACCGAATATTGCGTAATAAAGACAGTTTATGGCGTTTTAGATCCAAAGATTGTATTACCAGAAATCACTCTGGTGCTCTTTTAAAGAGATAATTCTCTAACTAATGCTTGAATGAGCTTTTTCACGCTGGCTCGGATTTCCAGCATTTTTTTTTTCTCGAGAATCGCCAAAGTTTTCTCATCTGATTTGGCTCTAGTGACATTTACAACATTCGGCCGATACTTTAGGTACCCTTTCTACTGAAAGGTCTACCCAGTAGTTTCGTTGATGACCGAGAACAAAACAGCCTTTACCCTAGGGCCTAGGAAGGCGCAATACGGAACTATCCCAGGAAGAGCGCCAATCAATGAATGCAAACAACTTTGGCATTCCCCCATGCTTTCGCAGTTGCCGCCGCCGTGAAGAGTGTACTATTGAAACCAAAGTACTTCCTACTTAGTCTTACAGGGTCATTTTCGTGAGACTTTTCGCGTGAGTGAGATCGATCAGGTTGGCTCGGTGGTGCCCTTCATTTATTGGGGTTGCACGCATGTACCGCATCATGTTCGTTCCAGTCAGCACATGTTATGCATTGTGCCTTCACTATGTGGAATTGGATAGTTGTATAAGCTTGGTGCACAAACTTACAGTCATTAGTGTAACAATATTGTAACAATACATTTAACTTGTCCTACGTCTGCGTGTTTTGCGTGGTTGTTTATGCGACGCTAACACATAATGCGAACAAAACGCTGGGGGTATCCGTGTACAATCTGCAGTTCTAAGTGAAACGCATCTATACCATAGCGCATGCATGTTGGTTCCAGTCATGATATATCACTACCACTTTATCGTATGTCGCTCGTATATTACTACGTTGCATGTACCACCTCTGGTTGCGCAATTGCTACTTCATAGGTACCGCTAAACGTGCAAGATAAACGGGTAACACTGGCCAAAAACATCAGCCTCAGTTGCTAGCTCGTCGTTTATTTCGCCTTGGTAATGCAGAAAAAAAAGAAACTAACTGATGCAATGGCTTGATTTTTTTTTTTTGTTAGTCTATTTCGGTTTGACGAGACCATTTCAGAGCCGGAAGGATGATGTGAATTAGGGGGAGACCTTGGTCTGGGCGGGTACCCTAGTGGTTCGTCGGGGCTGAGCCCATTCAGAGAACAGGCCACCCAGCCCCCATAACACTCGCTGCACCCGGCTTGCTTTGATCCTATGTGAGCTTCCCGCATGGGATAAAGTTGCCCTCCAGTCCGGAACAGAGGATAGAGGTGTGGTGGAGGATTGGCCTGTCCTGGGGATGGAAAAGACGGAGTGATGAGGAAAAAATACAACACGAATGCTACAAGAAACGTTTGCGGTTGTCCAGGGCCGATAATGCTGGAGGGCTTTTGATTGGTGTCTGGAGTTTGACCATGGTCGGCAACTGGGCTAAGCATTTAGATGGTGGCGTTAACAGGAGCGTGAATGTCTGGCTGTCAATTTCAGTGCTCGTCTTGTTGACGTTGGCGACGGATCGCCCGACATCCTTGTCCAGGGGTGACCTTGACTGGGACCCGGCCCGAAATCGACCCCGCTCGGTCGCAGCACCACCCCTAGCGGCAGCTCTCGGAAGCTCCGCTTGTGCGGTGTGCCGCTGGCGGCTCTGCGCGCGGTCCTGTGCTCGAGCTGACCCGGCGCGCGGGCCGGCGCCCGGCCCGAGCCACTCTCTGGGTATCTGGGGCCGCTGGCGGCCGGCGCCCGTCAGTGTGTGTGTGTGTGCGCGCCGTGTGTGTCGGCGGGTCGCGCCTGACGCGGCAGTGTCGCACGGGCAGTCAGTGGCCGTGGGTCGCCGAGGAGGAGTGGTGGATGTGAGGTGTCGAGAGGACGGCGGTGTGAGGACTGATTGGGGAGGAATAGCGGACAGGTGCCGCTGAGACTGCGGTCGGTGTGGGATTTGTAGAGGCTGGTCCAGCGCACAGGTGAGCGACCTCGGCGTTGGCCTCGAGCCCGCCAAAGAGTCCTCCCTCCGGCCTCGAGCCCGCCAAAGAGTCCTCCCTCAGGCCTCGATGGGTCCTTCCACGACCGCTGACGGCCTCAATAGTAGGTGCTCTCAGTAGTGCCGCCCCAGATCTTGGCCTTACAACGTTCAGAGAACTTTACAATGCATGCATTCAAATGTATTCAGAACATGTTTACGAGAGTCACCTTATTATCGCCTGTGCCACCTCCTGTGCCCCATGTCATTGACCCGCGACTATGCACTGTGCAAGCACGGTGCAAACTGCACTGAGATGCATTGAATATGCAACAGCAAACAAGCAGTCCAAGATGCGCCGCCGCACAAACGCCAGAGAGCACGTCCGATTCGGGTACACTACCGTCACTCTGCGATGCCTAAAACAGGGGCGCCGGAGGGTCGATCATTTATCATCAGCTCCACCGGGAACAGGAGCTGTGACCGCCCCTGGCGCTCGCTATTATGCCGAGAAGTTGATATGTAAATCAGGAAACGTGTTACTAGAATCGTTCCATTGCTGATGCGCTGCAGAATAGTAGCACAACACTGCGAGTGTGAGGCCCGGGAGAGAAACAGGGACCTGACTTTCGAGCAGAATAGAGCACAGTGCACAATCACTGGCTGAAGGCTTGTCACCTTGAGAGGGTATATAGGGCCTTGCTTGAGAGTGCTCAGACAATCGTGATCTCGCGCGGTTTTAGATGAGCTCGAAACAGCCACCGCCCTATTTCTCCCTCTCTACTTTATCCGATATGAGGAGTCCGTGCCATGCCTCATAGAGCGTCCGCGAGCACCCGAGTCCCCAGCATATCTCTCCTTCAAACGAGCCCGGACCGCTCTCCCCAATGACTACAGAGCGGCGTCTGAGGCAACTCGGCACCGCGCCGGCCCGGCCCGGCCTGCCGGCTCGGTATTTGGTCACGGCGCCTGGGGGTGATGCCGCGGCGGGTTATGATGGCATGGCCGAGCTGCCGGGGCCCGTGGCGCCATTCGCGCCGCTCTCAGGGCGCTGACACGTCCTGCGGGTCACAGGGAGGTCGGGAGACCGGCTGTTCATCTACGCTGGTCAACTCAGTCAGGTCAGCGAAAGAGGATTCCCAACTGAAGACGGTGAACGGCACAGGACGTTGTCCTGATATAGCTGCGGCCTGCGCCATTTTAAACCTAGTAGCTGGCGGGTTCTTTTTTATTAAAAAGAACTTTAAAAATGAAAATGAAATTGTTTGCTCAGCATCACTTTAAGTAGAACTCATTTCAATTTCGCGGCTGACCGTTATAACTATGGCATAAATTTCATTCATGGCCATTCATTTACATTGTTTTATCCAGCTTTATTCCGGGAGCAATCCAATTACGCGGATGGCCTCTTCTCAGAACACGTGCTCCATTTCCCCGAGTAGATTTTCTGGCGGCCCGTTAGCGGTCACGAGGCTCCGTTGTCGGTCCGTACCCCGCCGACCCCATCCCCCTGGGGTCTGATTGCCGACATTGTTACTCCAGTCATCAGCTGGGCGGCCGGCGGCGCGCGGCGCCTGCGTCGGAAGGCTCCAATCAGACTCCCCATTGACGATTGTGCCGCGGCCAAGGCCGCCTCAGACCGTGAGGCCGCCGCCGTATTGACACAGCTCACCGATAACACATCACTGCCGTGTGGACAGAACGCACTACCGGCGCGCTCCGAGGTGCGGCGCTCGGGCGCGTCAGCTCCGATAGCCCCGGAGGTGTGTAATCGGTACATCGGACACACTGCGGACAGGACAGTGTCCGGGAGGATGGCCCCGGCGCCGCTCCGCGCCGGACAGCGGTGACACGTGTCTGCACTCACAGGCGGCGACGAGGGTCCTCGGGCCGACTCTGAGGGCCTGTCGGAGTCCACTAGCCGGACAGAGCCGGCCCTCAGCGGTGACATCGAGTGGGCTGTGACAACAGGATCGAGGCCCCTCCTCCCACTCTGCAATGACTCGGACAATGGCATAGCAGTGACGACGTGGGGACTGGGTCCGACACTCGAGGGACCGACTGACCGGCAGAGTCGAATGAATGGTCACCAGTCAGCCAGTCTGAAGGACCGATGAAGTTGGGAGTTGTTGCATAAGCGGTGTCAGAACGGCTGATAAAGTTGCTACGTGTGCAGCATCAGAACAAATGGCTGGGGGTTATCGTATGAAAGACGTACTTTTATGCCGCAGTTCTATGCTTATCGGCGCAATCTAAAAGCGAGCATCAGATATAAGTGCGGGATGAATTTGGTACTGTTGATCAGTTCGGATGCAGGTATGCCAGCGTGCTACACAAAAATGTAGGTACATAACATTCGTCGAAATAATTAAGCCCTCGTGGCTGTGCCTGAGAGGATCGCTGGCGCTTGCCATTGTCTTTATTACCAACGGCTGCATCGAAGGCTGAAAGTTTGCTGGGCAGGCCCATGGCCCACGTAATCCATTCTTGGACAAATGCAATCAACATCGGGTCCATCTGAGCAGTACATAAGGCATGCTCCGATAACAAAATGACCGTCTTTACTACACCACGGCCGTCGGGACAGTCCCGGCGGCTGTTTCGAACGGCGGCGGTCCGTCCGTCCTATGGCTATGACCCACTTGTGAACGAGCTGGGCCGTTATCAGTGGCGGCGCGTGACTGGGTGGTGGCTGGTTCTGAGACGTGAGGCGATCACAGGCAGACCCTACCCTATACCGCGCCCTAACGGACACCCCCTGGTCCAGACCGAGCTGCTCAGGGCCCCAAGGAGACGCTCTTTTCCCCACCGGATCTCACCGCTCCCCAACTTTCTGTCCCCCACGGGCCCTTTCTGCACGTTCTAAATTCTTTGTCATTTCTCGAGTGCTTGGTTCCACCAAGCTTTGATTCGGCACCCTAATCCCAATCAACGTTATCATTGCTAAAGACGGCGTTTGTTGATAATTTGGATGCGAATTTGCACCTCCAGCCAAATACCCTCTGCGCCCTTCCCACCGATCGGGGCCGTCAAGGGCTGGCCGGTCGACTGGGTGGATGTGGGCCGGGCGGCCAGGTAAGGGGGCGGGGCGGGGCGGCGGCTGTCAGGGCCGCCGCGCGCCGGGGGCGAGGCCAGACAGGCGCGATGGCCGGCCACCGGTGTCCTCTGAGACACCTACAGAGGTCGGTCCGCCGCGATACGTCCGTCCGGCCGGTGCATCAGCTGGCGCGGTCGGTCACGTGCCCCGGTCACCGACTCCAGCCGGCGCCGGTAGCCGGTGTGCGGGAAACTGACCTGTCGCTCTGCGCCCGGCGTGCTCCGCAGCCGCGCGGAACCACTCAGAGGCGGGCCGGCGCGGCGGCCGAGTGCTCTGCATGTAATCTGGCGCCGCTGCCCGACCCGGACGGGTTGAGGGATGGCCTCCCCGTCAGCGTATCGCGGCTCCGATCGGCGCCGTGTGCTGTTGTTACCGAGCGCCTGTGCGCCGGCCCGAGAGCGGTCGGCGCCCGTGTGTGGCTTCGGTGACCGCCGCGCGCCGTTGGTAGCTGGGGAGAGGGGAGGAGGCAGCCGGGGAGAGCCGGCGGTAGTCGCGGAGAGCGGCATCAGAGCTCTACTATGTGTGAGAGACTACAGGACGCGCGCGGAGCCGGTCACGCACCGGACCTCTGACAGTTCACCTGACCGACCTTCCGAGCGGCGCCGGGCCGGCCGCTGAAAGGTCAGGAGGCGCGCCGCTCGAGGGCCGGCGCCGTGACCTTCGGGACATGCCTCATGGCCGCGTGGGCGTAACGCGCCCGCACGGCGTGACAGAATCAACCGCGGCCTGACCGGGAAATGGTGACAGCTGTGATCGGCTCAGCGCGGTGGAACCACGGGTGGGAGACGGGCCGCGCAACCATGTCAGAAGACGACCTGAACTGGTGTCATCTATTTTCAAAGCGTTACGCAATTATGAGTTTGATGCTGGCACCCGGAGGCGCCGTCTATTTTAGCTCGGAGGAGCGCGGCCAGATCATCTGTCTCGTAAAAAAGTGGCCCGCCACGGCCCACGATCACAACATGCCGGCGACTCTGGTGGAAAGCTACCGAAATAGCTCGGTGACCGGAGACCGGTCCACGCCCTGCCGTCAGGCACTAATGTCGTGAATATGGCCTCAGGCGCCACTAACGCCACATTAAGCTCGGTCGTTGGCTTCTGAGGTCAGCCTTCGGCGAACAAAGCGCCGTTTAGCGCGATAAGAGTGCCGTAAGGGAGGATTACGTATCTGGCAATCGGACTGGGAATCCCGCCGATAGCCGTAACGCGAGAGTTGGAGGCGATGCCGGCGGTGACGACTCACGTCATCGGTGGCTGCCGAACGGCTGACGGCGCTGACGCCGACTCCGCCGCTGCAGCTGGGCCGGCCGTGAGCGGTGGCTCCTGCGGCTGGAGGGCGATCAGAGACCGGAGCATGGGCGGGCTGACCATAGAGTCGACCCCCGTCCCCCATCTCAGTGACGAGTTATGTAGCCCGGAGACTACGGCTGGAGGAAAGTGGCCTCTGCCAGCCTGACAGAGTGTCCGACCGCTGCCCAAATAAACAATACGGAACGCTGAAAAACTTACCAGTCAATGGGCCTGCCAAAAGATGGCGCGGGTGAAGAATAATTATGGCTCAAATTAGCTTGGATATATCTTGAATGGTTTTTAGCACAGTTTTGAGAGACATTATGAATATAATAAGAGATATTAACCTTACTCTCATATTAGCCAAAAGATATAAAATTTCAAAAAGACAAAATACAGTTTCGGGAGCTTTCGGCTTTGCGCCTTTATCAACCGTTATGTCAGCTAGTCGTCTACAGCCCTCACTGTACGTACGGTATATCGACGACGTGTTCGGAGTCTGGACGCATGGTAGGGACGCCCTCTTCGACTACTTCAATTTCCTAAACACGGTCCATCCCACCATCAAGTTCACCATAGAACACACCGGTGACACTGGAGTATTGGCGTTCCTGGAC